AAAAAAAAAAAAAAAAAAAAAAAAAAAAAAATTTCTGGACATATAGCCAGAATTGCAGGTTAGCAGAGATAAAGATTGTAATACATTTTGTAAATTGTAAGCAAAAGGTTATTTTTATATTATATACTGTTTAATTGTCAAACCTAATTTGTTCTGGTTTTCATCTAGTCATGGAGATTCAGTAAGTGCCTTGGAACAATATTGAATTCTCTTAGCCTGTGTATGTTACCTTCAGTGTTTGAGTTCATCGGGGATTAGAAGACTATCAAAGTATATGTATGTTTTTAGCATATTTGACCTACAAGTAAAAGAGAACTCGTTATAAGTAACCAACACTCTTTAGTTTTCATTTTACTATTTCATCACTTGCAGTCTTTAGACATGAATTTCCTACAAACTTTCTATCTGATGGTTGGTTTATTGTTACAATATAATACGGTGTGTATTTCTACTTTTGCAGACCTTTCAAGACACACTGGAAAAGGGACTATTTGAGAGCCTCTGTCTTCTGTTGTACTTGTGAAAATAGTATTTTGATCATTCAGCAAGTGTGTATATATGAAAGAAACATTGTATGATGATTCTTACAGAGCCCCTGCAGCTACACTGTATCTTGGCAGTATACCATGCCAAGGATGAATCCTTTTAAGGATGCTCCCATTATGAACTTTGCCTTTGTAATAGTGATAGAACCTTTAAATTAAAGCAACTCAAAAGTTCATTATGGGGTTAAGGAAACTGTATATTCATAAATAGAATAAACAGACTAGAATATGGGATTAGGGTCATGTTCAGGTTCTTTGTTTGGTAGATCTTCAGTGAGCCTTACTCCAGAAATTAAAATAACCCTTGTGGATACAGATTTTTGTTCCTATTAACAACGTTGTACGTTCTACCTAGTTATAATGCAAAAAGTAAAGTTCAGCATAGTGATAAGGTAACAGAAGAAAACAGGTTTTTACAGTTTATTTGAAAGTTGGTAACAGTACTTTTTGTTCCTGGACATGTGTGCGTTTAGACTTGAGATGGAAGGATCAGGTATAATCCACAGTGAAGGCACTGTAGGGCTCCTCTACAAAGAGAGGCTGATGCACCTACTATTAACTAAGTGTCTTTGTGCAGGATGGCTTACTCCGCTTGAAACTGCCTTGCGCTGGGCATGCCTACATGAGATGTTTACTACGAAGATGACTAATAGCTCTGCGGTAAATGTCTCGGCATCTACATATGCCTGTTAGGGCACAGGAAACTAATAAGCTCTGCTGCAGGGTTTTTTCATGTGTATATGCTGACCTGGCTGGCTGGG